GTTTCTGTTACTGCATAAGCACATTCCTGTTTGCCTGCTGAAGTTTGCCTCCCTACAGTGCTGCTTAGTGCTGTAGATTAGCCTTCGGCTCCAATCTATTGGAAAGTATTTTTCATCTGATGGTTTGATGCATGTGTGTGCCTTTGCTTCCCTGCTCCCTTCTTTTAAGTTACTTTTTGTTTTAGATCTTAAATTCTGCCATCTCTTTTGAAAACCAAGCTGGTCCACCACTCAGAGACTGTCTTGTCCGTCTTGAGGATCCCAATGAGAAATCTTGGCAAGTGTGACCGTCAGCCGTTTGATACAGTATCCCATCAAACATGGTCCTACTGCTGTGCCTGTAAAAGGGAAAGATACTGGGCCTGCCGGCACTGGACACCAGCCGTAGTTTCTCGTCCTTTCCCTTGCTTGTCCCGGGAACAGATCTGTTAGGGCCTTCCTGCTGCAGAGATAAACTAGTGCATCGCTCTCTCTCCTCTAAAAATAAGCATTTGTTTATCGACATGTGTAGTGATTTCCAGCCGTATTGTGTGCCGAGCTGTCAAGAAACATTACTCTAAGGCCTGGCTCTCCTTTCAGCTCTGGCCAGCCGAGAGAGTGCAGCCGAGCAGGACAATGCAGAGTGCTGGGGGGCAACAGGCTAGCAAGCTTTCGCAGAAATCAGCTAAGACGTTGGCTTTTAACTAAGGCTGTGGTCCTCGCTCTTTATCGAGAGCTTGAAACTTTAATGCACTCTTTAAGGTAGAAACTGTGGAAAGTGAAGGGCAATGCTGGTATCGAATATCTGGGTCACATATCCAAGGTAGCTAGCGTCTAAATGGAGCCTGGCTTTGATTGAAAGGCATATTAGATGAAAGGGGAAAAACTCAGATCTGCGCTGACCGATTTTGGCATATTTTAATTGCTGCTTTACTTCATTATTTTCATTAGTCTGACTCTTAACAAACTGTCAGATTAGACGTTACACATCTCCCATCTTTGTTTAGAAATGGCTCTGAAAAAGATTTAGGGAGAATGCAGACCAGACCTCCAGCTTATCTGAGCTCTCATCCATCTTAGTTTGATGAGGAAAGCTCATGTTTGCAAGCTCTGCTAGTGGATCTGCAGTGGCTGAGTTTGACAAATGCCCCACACTTGCTCTAAACATCCGTCATTTCAGCAGAGCGTGGTTATTTAAAGCAGGATTTATAGTTTTGTCTCACTTGTGTTGCTGGTGTCTCTCTTGCTTAAGTTAGGGCAGAGAATGCACTTATGAGCTCACATCTCAATGTGGAAAAAGAACCAGGATATCAGCCAGTACTTAAAGGATTAGTTCATCCCTAAATGAAAATTCTGACAGCATTTACTCCCTCATGTCATTCCAAATCCGTATGATTTTCATTTTCACAAAAGGAGAAATTTTAAATAATACAGTTGGTTGTTTCATATAGTTGCAATGAACAGAGACTGGAGCATTCAAGCTCTAAAAACGATGCAAAAGTGCCATTAAAGGTGTCATAAAAGTGGTTCAAATGACTTCTGTACTATTCCACATCTTCTGAAATCCTACAATAGCTTTGTGTGAGTACCTGTGTGTGAAATGTGTCAATATTTACTAATAATGTTCACATCTAGTGTATGACAGAATCAGTTGAATTGGAAAACTGGACCAGTCTTTGTGAATTAATCGTTAATTGAATCACCTAGTTTATTGAAAAGATAAGACTCAAAGGAGTGATTGATTTGCTAATCAGGCATCACTACTTGTCTCATGAGCACTGACTTAAATTTTCAGTGTTTTCCTTACACAAAGCTACTGTATTACTTTAGAAGAAGAAATATAGTGCACAAATTGTATAAACAATATTTATGGTCTTTTTTTGCTCCAGTCCTCATTTACATTTATTATAAAGTAAATAATCTAGATACTTTTTCAGAAGGAAGGTCATAAGGGTTTGGTCTTTGTTAGACATTTTTGAGTAAACAAATTCTTTTAAGCTTCTAGTATGTTTATTCATGTTACTTAGTGGTTTGGACATTTGTAGCTTTTCAAAGGCTTACCGAGCAAGATTTTTTGATCAGATGTTAAAGTGATCTTAATCTTCAAAGTACACAGCAGGATTTTCGTGTTTATTCATGTTACTTAGTGGTTGGACATTTGTAGCTTTTCAAAGGCTTACCGAGCAAGATTTTTTGATCAGACGTTAAAGTGATCTTAATCTTCAAAGTACACAGCAGGATTTTCACAGCATTATTTAGTGTCAAATAATTATTCTTTCCTTCTTTTTTTCTAGCACTGAACAACATCTTTTTTTTTCTCATTGAAATGACTCGTGCCACATTTGATTAAGATACAGCTGCTTTTTAAAACACACTAATTTAACATAGCTTGGTGTAACAAACAACCTCAAATTAGACCCTGTTATGTGTCTTGTATGCATTATACTGTATATACAGTGGTGGCCAAAATTATTAGAACACTGGTATTTTCACCAGCTAAAAATGGTTTTAAGTCAGTTATTTCTATATTTTGCTGTAGTGTGTCAGTAGTAAATATCAGTTTACATTTCCAAACATTCATTTTGCCATTAATTGTAATAATCCAGTGAGATTTTTGTTTGCACAAGGAGTCTGACAACAGCCAGTTCTCCACACAGAGATCTGATCTCATCATCATCCAGTCTGTCTAGAATGACATGAAGAAACAAAACAAAGTGAGTCAGACTAAATCCAGAAGAACTGTGGAAACATCTCCAAGATGCTTCAAGAAACCTATCTGCAAA